AGGTGACCTGACAGAGTGTGGTAATGATTGAACATTATCACTCATATCACAAACAAGCAAAATCCTGCTGAAGATTATCCAGAAATGACCGGAAGAGTAAAATGAACTACCAGAAAAACAGGCTGGGTTTAGAAGAGGTCGTGGCACTAGAGACATTATCACCAATATCAGATGAATCCTGGCAGAAAGCAAAGAGTGTAAGATAAATGTCTGTGTTTAATTGACTGTGCAGAGACATTTTTGACTGTGTGGATCACAAAAAATTGTGGCTAACCTTGAGGAAAATGGGAATCCCAGAGCACTTGACTGTATGTGAAACCTATACTAACAAGGGATACTGTTTTTTCATTTTCTTTTTTAGAACAGCAGAAATAGCTTTTCCTGATATATATAACATGGTTATTTTGACTTCAAAGAAATAACTTAGTATTTTTTCTTATTTTTTCATGTTTTAGAAGAAATTATACACAACTGATAATGATTCTTTGAATATTTGGTATAATTATTAATTTTAACTGGTCTTGGAATAGATTTTTATTTTCACAGGTTTTTTGATGACATCATCTATCATGTTTTTTAATAGTTCAGTCTAAAATTTTGAACTCTGTTAGCTTGAGTAGGTACTGGTGTATATATTACAACTTTAAAGTTTGTTAAAACAAATAAAACAGTTTTTTATTGTCATTTATAGGGTTATCTTTATCTGTGTTGAATTGGTTGTAATATCACCAGTTTCATTTCTTAGTTGTGTTATTTCTCTCGTTTTGTCTTGATCACTTATTGTAGGAAGTTTCTTAAGCTGCTAATTGTAACCACAGTAGCTGCTGTTTCTGCTCAGATCAGAAGGGATTTCAATTCTTGCTTTTCTAGTAGCTCCTTTCAGTGTATAACAGGGCCTAACTTAAAGCTGGCTTCTTTTAGTGTATAATAGGGCCTAACTTAAAGCTGGTTTGGTTTGGTTTTTTCCTCTCCGCGGACACATCTATCTACTCACTTTCTGGTAACCGGGGAAAGAACTCTGAAGGATTATTGACAACAGCACAGTGTTAGCATTACATTACAGTTAACTGTTAAAAGTCACAGAAAAATACAGTCAACTTAAAAAATAATTTAAACCTTTAGTTACATAGACCAGCAGTGGCCACGTGTCTGTTGATATTGATAATTTTTTTTTCTTACTCATCTGTTTCCTTTTTTCCTAACTACCTTTGACAACTTGTATTCTCAACTCTTAGTTTTGCTTGTACTTAGTTTAAGTCTTCCTTCCTTGTAGCTTAGGTCGTCCAAATCAGTAAGTAATACTGTGCTTCCAGGTGGTTTTACAGGAAAGAGGCTTAGGACTGAAAGTAAAAACAGGTAATGAGGAAATCACTGGGTTTACAGCCACAATTGTTAATGGTTTTTTACATCACCATGAAATGTCTCATTAAGATTCCTGGTGCTTTATGGCATAAGCTTAAGCAATATTTTTAAACTTTTTCTTAGGAACTGCAACAATGAATGAAGAAAATACAGATGGAACAAATGGATGCAGTAAAGTTCGGACTGGAACTCAGAATGAAGCTGCTTTGCTTGCTTTAATGGAAAAGACTGGTTATAACATGGTTCAAGAAAATGGACAAAGGAAATTTGGTGGTCCTCCCCCAGGTGTGGAATTGTTAGGTTCCTCCCCCTCCCTGAATAAATCTTTAAAGTAGTTACTGAGAACAGATTGCCCCAAACAATAGCTCTTTCTTATTACTTTAAGACCTTAGGCATCATTTGTTTTACATTGTGAAGGGAAAGATGGAGGTTTTATGTTTAAATGGTTTAACATGTCTGTCTTAAATCATTTTTATTCTACACTCTTAATTTAAGAAACTATTGAGAAAGAAGTTGAGTTGTTACACAAGTTGTAAGACAAAGGGAAAAGTGGTATTGTAGGTATTAAAGTTTAAGGGAAATTATTTAGGGATGAATTTAAAAGAGCAAAAGGCAGTGGAATAGCCATTACCTAAAAAAGATGCAAACAGGTTAAAAAAAAAGTGTTACAATTTCTCTCCTAATAGCCAGGCACTAGAACTTTTTGCTAAAATCTTTCATTTTGGCTTTCTGCTACACTTAAAATTCTGGCCTTTTTTAATGATCTGAGCCTCCCGGACGTTTTTCTCCTTTATTATACCATTTTTGTCCTACAGCCTTCCATTCACTTAACACATTTCTCTAGTTTATAAAGCACTTGCTTTTTCTTCTTCCTGAATGTTCTTTGTCCAGATTTCTTCATGACTTACTCTGTAATTCATTCAAGTCTCTGTATAAGCATCATATACTTTTGGAAAGCTTTTACCTACCTTTTTCCAACTTCATTTTCCTTTATTTCTTTAAAATATAATTTATTTACTATCTCCTTCATTGAATAAAAATGAGTTTAACGAAGGAAAGAGCTTTATTTTGTTAACTTTTGTGTCCTTCATACCTAGGATAAGTGTGTGGTACATAGGAATCTCACAGAAAATCTGTGGCTGAATGGATTTTTGAATAGTAAATATAAATTACCTTCTTATTCTTGTTGGGTCAGAACTGACTTGTAACTGACCCACTAGCCAATATTCAGAGGCTGTAAGTCATGTGAAAGAAGACTGCCAGTCTTTCTCCCTTGGAGCATTTGGTGAATTTGAACTGCATAACTTTGGGTTTTCAGTGCAACTCCTTATGTATTAGGCCGCCAGACCTCCTTAAGTACTTTATTAGAATTTGTCTATCTCTCCGTTTTGGTGTTTCAGGTTGGGAAGGTCCGCCTCCGCCTAGGGGTTGTGAAGTTTTTGTAGGAAAAATACCTCGTGACATGTATGAAGATGAATTAGTACCTGTGTTTGAAAGAGCTGGGAAGATATATGAATTTCGGCTTATGATGGAGTTCAGCGGTGAAAACCGAGGTTATGCTTTCGTGATGTACACGACGAAAGAAGAAGCCCAGTTAGCCATCAGAATTCTTAATAATTATGAAATTCGACCAGGAAAGTTTATTGGTGTATGTGTCAGCTTGGATAATTGCCGATTATTTATTGGCGCTATTCCCAAGGAAAAGAAGAAAGAAGAAATTTTGGATGAAATGAAAAAAGTAACAGAAGGAGTTGTAGATGTTATTGTTTATCCAAGTGCAACTGATAAGACAAAAAATCGTGGTTTTGCATTTGTTGAATATGAATCTCACAGAGCTGCTGCTATGGCTAGAAGAAAATTAATTCCAGGTAAACAAATCCTTCCAAAGATTGTTTTCCCTGTTAGTTTTATCATAAATATGCAAATTGACCACTTTACAATTTAGTATTAACAAACTTTGTAATGCTGCTTATGAGGCATAAAGGACTGAATAAGGAAAGAAAAGATTATAGGGTCACACAATTTGATGGGTGGAGGGGAGGGATGGGTAAAAGAAAGGGGGAAGATCTGGTGTGAAAAACAGTGCATATGAACTTTTTATGTAAACTAGTATAAAATAAAATAAAATAAAATTTTAAAAAGATTATAAAAACAGTTATAAAAGAAGTTTCTATAAAACAGTTCTTTATCAGATACCCGTCTAATGAATTGTTTATTATATTTTTTATAAATCCAAAGCTGATAACCTAATTCTTGAAAAAAGGTCTGTTTTGAAGTATTTGCTCTACTAAGTCTTAAAGTGAATTCCACCATGAGATCCAATTAAATTGGCATTTGTTGTTGTTGTTGATTGTCTTCGAATTGAGCACAACTCCTAGCAACCCTAAGAACAAAAGGCTTGAAGCCCCTCTACAACTATCGACTTTTATTAAAGTTCATAGAGTTTCTGGAGGCATATTATTTAGGAAGTAGTAGAAGCCACTGTTGTTTCCAAATTTGTGTTTAGTAAAAATAAGCTTTCATGTGACTAGAAATTAATGGTTCTTGAAATATATTGACCTTTGAGTTTCTGCTTTTTTAGGAGAAATAGTCTTACTAAATACTTTATTATTCTTAGTTTTAATAATTTTCCACTTAATTTATTATTTTATTGCAGGAACCTTCCAGCTGTGGGGCCATACCATTCAGGTAGATTGGGCTGATCCAGAGAAAGAAGTTGACGAGGAAACCATGCAAAGAGTTAAAGTACTTTATGTAAGAAATTTAATGATCTCAACTACAGAGGAAACGATTAAAGCAGAGTTCAATAAATTTAAGCCTGGTGCTGTAGAACGAGTAAAGAAACTTAGAGATTATGCTTTTGTTCACTTTTTCAACCGAGAAGATGCAGTGGCTGCTATGTCTGTTATGAATGGAAAATGCATTGATGGAGCAAGTATTGAAGTAACATTGGCAAAACCAGTAAATAAAGAAAATTCTTGGAGGCAACATCTAAATGGTCAGATTAGTCCTAATTCTGAAACCCTGCTGGTGTTTGCTAACAAAGAAGAGGGCCATTCCAAAACTTTAGGCAAGACACCAACTCTTCCTGTTCGTCTCAATGGTCAGCATAGCCCAAGCCCCCCTGAAGTTGAAAGATGTACCTACCCTTTTTTTCCTGGAACAAAGCTTACTCCAATTAGTATGTATTCTTTAAAATCCAATCATTTCAATTCTGCAGTAATGCATTTGGATTATTACTGCAACAAGAATAATTGGGCACCACCAGAGTATTACTTATATTCAACAACAAGTCAAGATGGGAAAGTACTCTTGGTATATAAAATAGTTATTCCTACTATTGCAAATGGATCCCAGAGTTACTTCATGCCAGACAAACTCTGTACTACATTAGAAGATGCAAAAGAATTGGCAGCCCAGTTTACATTACTTCATTTGGGTACGTTAAAATATTTTAAATAATATCATAAAGTATAAATTAGCAAATACCGTTGTAGATTATGAATGAATGTATTTATTTTGAATGCAGCATAAGTAGTGAGTAATGTAAATGTTATATATGCATTATGAGTTCATGATTAATTTTGTTTAAACTTACCTCCTAAATAATCTGTTTTATATTTTAAAACATTATCTGCCTGGAGGATATTTGGTTTTGGTTCACATTAGAGTCCATAACCCTGCTTCATTAATTTGTTTTTTATAAAAACTAATTTTTGTTTGAAATAAAAATTTGCAAAAAGTTTCAGCATTTTCTGCTTAAGCCAATCACTAATGTTGTTGTTGTTGTTACGTGCCATCAAGTCGTTTGCAACTCATAGGGACCCCATGTACAACAGCCCTAAGCCCTGCTCTATCCTGTGCCAATCGCATTGCCTCTGACACACCCGTCCCGATTACCCCAGTCACTGAATCAATCCACCTCATAGAGGGTCTTCCCCTCCTGTGCTGTCTCTCTACTCTGCCCAGCATGATGTCCCTCTCCAAAGACCTGTCTCTCCTTACAACATGTCCAAAGTATGTCAGATGAAGCCCCAGAATCCTTGCCTCCAAGGAGTAGCCTGGTTTAACTCTCTCTAGGTGGAATCTCTAGGATGATCTCTTTACATTGAGTAGGAGGGTTGGTAAAATCAGAGGCATTTCAGACATGAATCATGTATATATAGCTTTAGGTTCACCAATCTGGAAATTTGTCATTAGTCATAAAAGACAAAAAGCATCATTTAATATTTATGATAATTCTCTGATTATATGCTTTAGAAATAATTTGCTGTATCAATACTTGCTGTGGTAAAGGACAAGATAAAATATTGTCCTGCTATTTTTCTACTTCCTGACTATTTTTTACTGTTATGTTAGCATCTTTCCTCCTATCATTTCAGTATGTCTGATTCTTTTTAATGTAGTTAGAGATTTCATTCTATGATTATATTTTTTAAATCCTAATTTTTAGAGGAGTAGTTTCTTAAGCATCAGTAATGAAGAGGTGAGGTTCCTATACAGAATTTTAAAAGTAATTATTAAAACTTTATTTTTATGAATTAGTACAGAGCAAAACCCTTTTACATTTAGTAATTAATGTTCATTAACACTGGTTATATTTTCCACATTGTGTCAATATTGTCAATATTTCTTTTCTAGTTGTTTCATTCCCATTTATCCTACCCTCCAGCATTTCACCTGTGCTTTAGAGTAACTGTTAAAAAATGGTCTCATATAGATAGATAATCTTGTAAAGAAAGAACAGTACTCAACTGCACTTAGTCTTTAAACTGACATCCTTGCTCTTCAGCACTGTGGAGAAGTATTAGACCCCAGATATTCCCAGTGTAATGTGTATTTTGATTTCTTTGCTTTTTGAGCTAATCCATTATTTAGTTAAAAAAGGACTTGGGATAGCTTCCACACAAATTTAAAGAACTCAGAGCACTAATCTTGGGAATTTTTCACATCTTAATGGGTCAAGTAAATAAATTTTTTAGAATTAAAAGTTCTGTTCCACATTACCCCTACCCCACGCCATTCCTAACAGAATTCATCTTATTGTGACCCTGATTAGAACATTTGAAGAAGTAGTGGTTAAACACATTGTCACCCTTCTGGTTAGTCTTAGAAGAGGGCAAAGTAGGCTTTTGTTCATGGAGTTAACATTTACATTTTTATGAATTTAAAATTTATATTCTCAGATTTACTAAGAGAAGGTAGTAAAAAAAGTATTATAAGAAGAGTACTTTTTTTTTAGACACTGTATAGATTCATTAATTAGAGCCATTTCCAAATTTACATTATTGTTGTTGTTGTTATGTGCCGTCGAGTCGTTTGCAACTCATAGCGACCCTATGCACAACAGCCCTAAACCCTGCTCTATCCTGCGCCAACCGCACTGCCTCTGACACACCCATCCCAATTACCACAGTCACCGAATCAATCCATCTCATAGAGGGTCTTCCCCTCCTGTGCTGTCCCTCCACCCTCCCAAGCATGATGTCCCTCTCCAAGGACCTGTCTCTCCTTACAACATGTCCAAAGTATGTTAGATGGAGCCTCAGAATCCTTGCCTCCAAGGAGTCATCCAGTTTAACCCTTTCCAGGACAAATCTGTTTGTTTTCCTAGCAGTCCATGGTATTCTCAGTACTCTTCTCCAGCACCACAGCTCAAAGGCATAATTTATCCTTCTATCCTCCTTGGTCATTGTCCAACTCTCTGATGCATAACAAGTGATTGCAAAGACCATGGCCTGTATCAGACGTACCTTAGTCTCCAGAGAGACACCGTTGCTCCTGAGTACTTTAGAGAGGTCCCTAACAGCAGACTTTCCCATCGCGATACGCTTTTTGATTTCCTGACTGCTGGTGCCAAGAGTGTTGACTGTGGAGCTGAGCAAACTGAAGCTGTGAACAATCTCAATCTCTTTGCCATCCATCCTGACGCTGCCAATTGGTCCAGTGGTGAGAATCTTTGTCTTCTTGACATTGAGCCTCAGTCCATACTGAAGGCTGCAGTCCTTGACCCTCCGCAGCAGGTGCATGAGGTCCTCCTCAGTTTCAGCAAGCAGGGTTGTGTAATCTGCATAACGCAGATTACATTACATTATTAGGATATTCTAATTTGAATATTTTGTGAGAATTTTAGATGTCAAGGTAGAATTTCTTTAAAAGAAGCATTTTTTTTTAAGAAGCATTTTAATAATATCTTCATTTATTAGTTTGGCAAAATTTACTTTGAAAATTTAATATCTCTCTAAAAAATCCTAAAATGTTATTTCTGTTGGTACACAAACCAGAAAACCTTAATTTAAAAATGTTAAAAAAATTAACTATATTGTTGTCATGTGCCATTTAATTGACTGAAACTCATAGCAACACTATGAATAACAGACTTGAACTTTGCCCTGTCCTATGCCATTCTTAATTTAAGATTGCCAACATGTTGGAGCCCATTGTAATACTGCATGCAGAATGAATCCATCTCTTTGAGGGTCCTTCTGTCTTTCTCTGACCCTCTGTCATCATCAGCTGACCCCTTCTGACAACATTAGAGGCGCACCTCATTTGCACTTCCTCCAAAACAAATAATGTTCTCTTGGCGTCTGTGGGATGGTTAGCACTCTTTGCAAGCACTGCAATTCAAAGGCATCAGTTCTTTTTTAATTTTTATTTTATAACTTTCAGATGCATAGAAAGCAATTCAAAATACCATGGCTTAGACAAGTTGTACTTAAGTCTTCAAACTGCATCCTTGTTCTTTAGCACTTCGTAGAAGTTCTAGACAGCGGGTAATCCCCATGCAGCAAGGCTTTTGATTTCTTGACAGCAGATTGTGTATTCAAGTAAAATGAAATTTTCGACAAGTTCAGTTTTCCCTCCATCCGGGTGTTTCTTGTTAGTCCAGTGGTGAAGATACTTGTTTTCTTGCTATTGAGATATTGTCCCTATTGAAGGCTGTAATCTTTGATCTTGTTCAGTAAATACTTCAAGTCTTTTTCACTTTCTGCAAGAAAGATTATATAATTGTCATAATGCAAATTGCTGATGAGTGTTTCTTCAGTGTTGATGCCACGTTCTTCTTCATATTTATCTTAATACACTTTATTGATTTGCTCAGCTTACTGATTGAATAGGTGTGCAGAAAGAACACAACCCTGACATATACTTTTCCTCTTTTTAAACCATGCAGTGTTCTTTTGTTTTGTTCATACAGCTGCTGCTTGATCTATGCATACATAGGTTGTCTGTGTGTGTACTGGAATTCTCATTTTTAGAGTTAGACATAATTTGTTGTCCACACAGTCAGATGGTGTTGCATAGTCAGGAAGAGTCAAATAAAACATCTTTCTGGTCCTTCCTGCTTTCAGCCAAGAGATATCTGGCATCAGCAGTGATAATCTTTGTTCCATAGCTGCTTCTATGTCCAGATTAAATTACTGGCAGTTCTCTGTTGGTATTCTAGTCCAGTTATTATTATTTTTTTTTATCTGATTCTATTTTTTAATTTGTACAGATTCTCTTTTTTCTTTTTCATTCACATAGTATAAGCAAAATTTTATTTCAGTGTGATATTATTTAATAACTTCCTCATTCTATTGTCTATCATTTTTTAAAAACTGGAACAAATTTGGATATTTTCCGGTCAGTTGATCAGGTCCCTCAGTGTATTCCAAATTTCTTTGTTTAGTCTTGTGAACACCTCCAGGACACCATCTGTTTGTTGAAACCCCTCAGTTGGTATTCTAGTAATTCTCAGGGCTTTATTTTTCCAGTACTTTCAGTTCATCTTCAACTTCTTTCACCACCATTGGTTCTCGATCATCTATCTGCTACTTCCTGAAACAGTTCCTGTATCAACCAATTCTTTTTGGTACAGTGACACTGTTTTTCCTTTATGTTCTTTTGTTGCTTCCTGTATCATTCAGTGTTTTGCTCATAGAATCTTTCTGCAACTGGAAGCTTGTTTTTTTTTTCTTCATTTCTTTGAGTCTGAGAAATGTCTTGTGTTATTCACTTTTTTTCACTGTGTTCTTTGCTTTTGGTTTTATTTTAGCTTTTTGTATATTCTGTTATAATACTTTACTTTGTCTTCTTGAGCTGCTCTTTGAAATATTCTGTTCATCTTTAGCATTTCTTCTTTTTAATTTGGTCTCTATCCATTCTCATATAAGTTTTAATTTCTCTTAACTGGTGTTAGAAAAGAGTGCTGCATATCCCATGGAATGCAAAAAGAACAAATAGGTATGTCTTGAAAAGGTATAGCCAGAGTGCTCCTGGGAGGCAAAGGTGATTAAAATTTCATCTTATATATTTTAAGCATGTTGCTAGTAGAGGCTGTTGATTGTAGAGAAGCATCATGTTTGGAAAGTAACCAGGTGGGTTAGCACAGTGAATTAAGCAGTGGGCTCAAGTGTGTTAGAGATTGTGATGATCTCTGGAGAGGAAAGGAGC